GCAGGTCAGGTATTCCGGTATTCCCACCTTTGAAGAATTTTCCACAGTTTGTTGTGATCCACACAGTCAAAGGCTTTGGTGTAGTCAATGAGGCAGAAGTAGATGTTTTTCTGGAACTCTCTTGCTTTCTCCATGATCCATCAGATGTTGGCAATTTGATCTCTGGTTCCTCTGCCTTTTCAAAATCCAGCTTGAACATCTGGAAGTTCTTGGTTCATGTACTGTTGAAGCCTGGCTTGGAGAATTTTGAGCATTACTTTGCTAGCGTGTGAGATGAGTGCATTCTTTGGCATTGCCTTTCTTTGGGACTGGAATGAAAACTGACCTTTTCCAGTCCTGTGGCCACTGCTGAGTTTTCCAAATTTGCTAGCATATTGAGTGCAGCACTTTCATAGCATCATCTTTTAGGATGATGCATCAACTTAACAACAAACAAATAAATCCAGCTCTCTTGATCCAAAGTCTTTCGACATATATCTTCAACATACTGAGTCCTGATTCCTTCTCTTGAATTTGCCTCCCAAACATGCCCCTTCTGCTGTGGTTTTGAAATGCCTACACATTCTTTGATACTACTCCCTTCAAGAAACGGAACCAAATTCCCCTTTTGAGGAGGTGGAGCCATAAAAGGCATGGTGGCTTCCTGCTTGTCCTCTCTCTCCTTTCTCTCCCTGCTCCCTCCCCCTGCCCCATCTTCCCCTCCCCTCCTCAGCTTCAGGAGAAGCCAGCTGCTTATCTTGAGGAGATCTATGGAGCTTAAGAATCTGAAGCCTGGGTCCTCTGACCAAAATGTGCATAAGCTTGAGAGCAAATGCTCCAGACCCATGAGAGGCACTGAGCTAGAACCACCCCTATAAACTGCTTTTGGATGTCTAACCCTCAGAAACTGGGTAAGATAATGAATGTTTTTAAGTTAATGAGTTTTGGGGTGATTTTTTTTATGCAGCGATAAACCAGTACATCTTCCCCATTGTAGGAATTGCCTCTATCCCCCAAAACCAACTCAAACCTTTACTGGAGAGCTCAAATCATTGGGAAGTTTCCTTTTCTCTTATACTCAGGTGAAGGTGGCTCAAACGGTAAAGAATCTGCCTGCAATGCAGGAGACGTGGGTTTGATCCCTGGGTGGGAAGATCCTCTGGAGAAGGCAATGGCTACCCACTCCAGTATTCTTGCCTGGATAATCCCAGGGACAGAGAAATGTGATGGACTAGAGTCCCTGGGGTCACAAGGAGTTAGACAAGACTGAGGGACTAATGCTCACAGCACACAGGTGAGACAGAACACCTGTGTTGAAATCCCTGTGGCTGCTGCTTTCTATCTGTGATATTAAATGTATTGGGCTGGTTACTTAATCTCTCTGTGCCTCAGTTTCCACATCTGTTAAATAATGATAAAAAGGAAGATTTTAACGATTAAGTCAGGGAATAGATATGAGAGTGCCTGGCCCAATGCTGGGCACTTGGTGGGTGCCTGAAAAATATGACCTCCCTCTGGCTCTAACTTTCTAGTTCCCGACTCCCAAGCCCCTGCCTGAACAGACTGGGACTAGGACCAAGGGTTTTAGGGGCCCCTCATCCTTTTTCTGCCACTGGAGACAGAGGAGGAAGAGATCTGCCCTGCACCAGGGGTTTTCTTCCTCCCACTATTGGGGTAAGAAGTAACTTGTCCATGAGAGGCAGATGCACTGCTACAAAGATCCCCTTGCAGATGAGGGACTGGAGCTGCACTGGCAAGGCTTGGGCTCCAGCCTGGTCACCCCTCCAACTCCTTGGAGGATGAAAAGAGTCTACTTTGCCACTCACTAATCCTCTACATATTAGGAAAACCGCTATTTCCAAGACTTTGCCCATTTCTTTCCCTTTCTTCCTCCCCTCTCCCTTTATTAATTTTTAAAATTTATTTTAATCACAAATAATATGTGAAAAATAACATCAGCCAACATTTCCTGAGAACTTACCAGCCAAGGTTCTAAGACTGCTAGGTGTCTCACAAGTGTTTTATGAGGCAGGTTCCTGTATTAGTCCCATTTTACAGCTGAGAAAACCAAGGCACAGGGGCTAATGGCCCAAGGTCACACAGAGGCAAAAAGAAGCTAATGAAGCTCAGACTTCAAGGTCAGGACCTCATTACACAGTCTGTTTCAAACCTCCAGGCTTAAACTTTGTATTCTGAAGGCACAAATTGAGGCTTCAGCGTGTGTGTACTAGAAAACAGCACACACTACAAACAAATAAAAATAATTTTAAAATGCATTTACATCTATAAACATGCACACACTTAAAAAAAAAAAACCAAACTGTGGTCCTACTGTAAGGCTTTTTTTTAACAGAAAGTCTTGACTCTCCACGTTTTACTCTCCTCCCAGCTACGTCTGCCGGGTCGCCCTGTCCCCCTCCCCCGTTCCTTCCTGCCTCCCCGGGCGCGTCCTTCCTGGGCCTCGCTTCTCACCCCGGGTTCCTCTCTCACAGCGCGCCCCTCCTCCGCTATCCTTGCTCCTTCTCCGCCGTCTCTCGTGCTAACTGACTAAGGCATTTCTCCCTCTCCCTGCCCCACCCCCGCGCTTGGCCATCCAGCGCACAGGCCTCTCCCGCCCTCGGTTGCCCTCTGCCAACCTCGCTACCCTCATTTGCAGTGCCCCCGCCTCCCCGCCCCGCTTTAAATCTTTCCGCTCCCCTCCCCATCCTCGTTCCCCGCTAAGCCCTGCCACTCCGCCGCCCGGCAGGAGCGCACAGCCGGCGGGCTGCGACGCGCGCTGACAGGGTAATGAATGGCTTCAGCGGTAATTAGCGACCCGGCGGCTAATCATGATGTACATTTACATTTTAAGTGCTGCAGAGGGAGCTGGAGAAGGGGAGGGGAGCGAGGGGAGGGGACGCGGGCCTTTTCCGCGGCCTCCCTTCACCGACTGGGGAGCGAAGTGAACCGAATCTTCTCCAGCTGGCGGCAGTGGAGGGGGATGGCGGTGCGAGGCTCTCCAGGGCCAACCCCGGCGAATGCAGAACTGCCTCCTCTTCAAGAGGCGTAAACGCGGAGCTCCCAGGCCCCTTCCTCCAAACTGCAGACCCCTGATTAATCCCCTCCAAGGGAACGTTCAGCCTAGGCTTACATACCCCCGTTGATGGAGAGCTCTCTTCTTCCATAACCAACCCGTTCGGAGTTAGATCCAGCGGTTTGGGGACTTTTTCTCAGGCCTAAAGAAACTGATGCCCATTAAGGCCCACAACTGCCCTCGTTTTACAGAACCTGAGTATCCCTGAGCCTCGCCAAGCACTGCGAACTCTTGTGTCTTCACCAGACTGCTGCCCTCCGACTCCTACCGCTGTTCCTCGTGGGGGGCAGCGGGAGCTGCGACGGGCCAGAAACACAGGTTCCGAGCCGAAAGTGCCCTCCAGAGCCTCTCTCCCCAGCGTGCGAGCAGGAGATCCGAGAAGGGGATGGTCATTCATGTAATGGGGCTCAAAGATCCACCTTCTCTCCAGTCACTCCCAAAGGGCCGTATTGGAGTCAGTCCCGGGTTCCAAACAGCAGAGCCGAGCGCTAGGAGATACGAGATACTGAGGAGGCGAAAGCAGCCTGGAGGAGAGGAGGGGGACCCCAGCAGCCCCGTCTTAAGACTGGGCACAAGCTCGCCCGGGCACTGGGATGACCCCAGCACTTCAAGGGTTTCCCGTCCGCCGCAGCTATCAGGGCTGCACCCCGCCACGCCCCGTCGTAGTCACCCCCATCCGGATCAGGTCTTGCCCACCTTCAGTTCTGTGTGTGCGCGAGGGGTGAAAGGATGAAGGACGAGGCCCTAGGGCAATTCTAGTACGGCTCCTTCACAAACCCGGTCTCTCTCATCAGCAATCCTTTAAAGCCCAATCTCATCTCTCCCTTCACTGTTCATCTCTCCTGGAAAGACATCCCGGGCCATTCCCTTGGTCTTGCGGAGTTCCCGGGGAGGGGAACCCAGTAACTCCATAATGTCCCTGAGATTTCCGTTTCCCAGCTACCTCCCTTCTCCCTCAAAACCTGCTTTACCCAGTCTCTTTTCTGAAAAAGGACCCCACTGGGTCCCAGGGGCCCCTGTTGACTAACAACAAATTCCACCTGAGAAGAAGGGGGATCCAAGTGAGCAGAGGACAATATCTGGCTTACTCTAAGGCATGCAGCTGTAATACTCGACTTTCAGGCATGGATGAAGGGAGCTTAACTCTTCTTGAGAAGGGGGTCTCATTGTTCTCGTCCCATTCATCCCAGGGGACCGCCTGGCCCAGAGCCGCAGTTCGCACACCCCAGCGGGTGTGCGGGGGTGTCTGGGAGCCTTCAGCTCTGGTCAGGCGCGGCGAGGCTGAAACCTCAATTCTCCGGCTGCCCTGCGAGTACCACGCCGAGACACAGTCGTCGAGGGCAGGCGCGGGGCGGAGACGGAGCCAGCGCCTACCACACTCTGCTGACAGCGCACAGGCTGTCCTTCAGGCGGGAAGAGCGGCTCGGGAGCGAAGGGACGGGGTGGGGGTGGGGGTGTCGTTCCTCTAGCAATGGGAGAAATAGGTCCCAGTCCCCAGAACACCGCTTTGAAATCTCTCATTGGGAGTGGGCAAGGGGTGGGTGGCCTTCAGCTGAACCGCGGAAGGGCTCGGGGACCCGGCTTGAAGCGGCGTTTGCCCAGCAAACGGTTTTTATTTAGGTTGCAGGTTTATGAAGGTTGGCTCAGGGAGGGCTGATGGTGATTATAGGGAAACTTCAGCTGGAAGGTCACCCCTGGCACTGCCCTGGTACCCCGGGGTGCGCTCAACTCCCAAGCCCGGGTATCCGAGGACCAGGGTGGATGCCTGCGAAAGGCTGTGAGGCTGGGGCGCGGGCCGGCGGGGCTGGGTAAGGGGCGGGGCCCGACGGCAGGGGCGGGGCTCCCAGGCTCTGAGGCGGGGCCTCAGCTAAAGGCGCGGAGCACAGGGCGCCGAGATCGCCGAGTAGAGCAGCGCCCAGTGGAGAGAAGTGGAAGGCTAGGATCGCACCGTCCCAGTCGGCCAGCCGGCGTCCACGCCGCTCACGCGCCCTTACCCCTGCTGGCCCTTGCCCGACGCGACCCACCGACATGCAGCCCCGGGGCTGAGGCGGCCCGATGGCGAAGCCCGCGTCCCCGCAACGACGGCGCATGGAGAACTTCCGAAAGGTGCGCTCCGAGGAGGCGCCGGTGGGGAGCGGGGATGAGGAGGGCGGCCCGGGCTCAGGCCCCTTCGCCGACCTGGCGCCGGGCGCCGTGCATATGCGGGTCAAAGAGGGCAGCAAGATCCGGAACCTGCTGGCTTTCGCCACTGCCAGCATGGCGCAGCCAGCCACGCGCGCCATCGTCTTCAGCGGCTGCGGTCGAGCCACCACCAAAACCGTCACGTGTGCCGAGATCCTCAAGCGCCGCCTGGCGGGTCTGCATCAGGTCACGCGGCTGCGCTACCAGAGCGTGCGCGAGCTGTGGCAGAGCCTCCCTCCGGAACCCACGCCGGGGCAGAAGCCTGGCGAGCCAGCCGCCAGTCTCAGTGTACTTAAGAACGTGCCCAGCCTCGCCATCCTACTTTCCAAGGATGCCCTGGATCCGCGCCAACCCGGCTACCAGCCGCCGAACCCCCATCCCGGCCCCTCGTCCCAGCCTACTGCTCCGACGTCCAAGAGGAGTCTAGGGGAACCTGCTGCTGGGGAGGGCTCCGCGAAGCGGTCACAACCCGAACCTGGTGCTGCTGAAGAGGACCAGACCGCCTGAGAACTCCGGCCTCTGGGCCACCTGGACGGGCTGGATCTTACCCCCGAGCTTCGACCTTGAGACGCATCTCTAGCCTTTCATGCCTTGGTCCTCTGGAACCTACAGCGTGGCGGCACAGACCCCAAGGCGACAAGAGGGGGACCCCAGGGAAGCTTCGTGGTGGGGTTGCTCCTCCACCTGTGTTGCCTGACGACACATGACTCCACCTTCAGCTTTTCTGAACCATACCGGGACCTTCTTCAGGGAGGGAATGGTGGGCAATGGGACTCTTGAGCCTTTAACCCCAAAGGTTAAAAAAAAGGCTCACATAGGATTCTTGAAGTGGGCTAGGAAGGTGGAAGCTGAGGAAAGCTCTTGGAAGCACCCCCACCGTTGTCAGCAGAGGGCAAAGGGTTGGAAACCACTGCTTGAGGGCGGGCGATTTTGAGTAGCGGGGTAAAGGGCTATTCTGCCCCTCACCCCAGGACAGTTTCTAGTTTTCCTTTCCCTGCTATTAAGGAGCATCCTGAGATCATGGTGGCAGGGGCGTCTCCATAGGCTCTTTTAACATCCCACTTTCCCCATGCTGGCCCAGAGGGAGAGACTCAGGACAGAACTCTCTATGCCACCTCCCCTGAGCCCCACAGCTGGAGTCTTGCTTCCAATAAAACAAACACAGAAATGGCTCTGTCCCTGGGTTTTTCCCTAACCACTTGCCTGTGTAGAGACTGCTGTGGTCTGCCCCCTTGTGTCTCAGTCCCCTCCAGCCTGGAATCCTTAGCTTTTGAGGTCTAATGGGTCAGGCACAGAACCTGGGCAGCTTCAAAATGGTGCCGGGAGCACATTACCCAGCGCCTGGTCCTCCCTCTTTCTCAGCTCTCCCTGGCTAGCTCCAGGAGCTTCAGGGCTTGTGGCCAGAAGGGGACCTTTGTCACCTTATGTGTTACCACTAAGGGAAAGGGAACAGCATACTGCTTTTCTGGAAGGGGGAGGAAGGTGAGCATCAGTGAACTATCCTGGGGGTCACTGCCAAGGGTGGCAGACCAAACTGGGCTCCCTAAGCCTCCAGCCTCCTGCCAATAAACAGCCCTACCAGAAGGCTGGCACAGAGCCCCCCAGCCCCATGGATAGAATCTACCCTTCACTGCTCTCTCTCTCTCTGAGAAAGGACAGCACACCCTTGGGAGAGGGGGAGGAGAGACAGCACAAATCCACTGCTGGAAATTACTATTCAGCAGAGAAGCTGGGACTTGGGCTGTGAATCACTGCAGGCTCCTGATAAGCTGCTGCCTCTGGCCCTGCACAGCTGTCTGTTGAGAGATAACAGCCTTATAAGCCTTTCTGCCCAACTCCAAGTCAGGTGGGAGGGTGGAAGGAGTGCTGTGTACTGGAAGCACTCTAGCAAATATGAGGGGGAGGGGCACATAGCTCCAAGATCTTAGAAGCAGACCCTGTCCTCTTGCAACTTAACAGCATCCTTGGAAAGGAGGAGATGGGGAAATATGTAAGTCATTTTGTAGGCAGAAAGCTGAAATAAATCCTTCTGCTGGTAACAAGAGGTACGTTTCTGCAGTTGATAGAAGGGGCTCTTCAGGGAGTTCACCCTCACCCCCCAGCTCTGCTTGAGCTTTGGATATGTGGGCCCTGTCAAACAGACTCTGGCACTGGCTACCCCCCTTAATGCCTTGTTCTTGATGAGTCCCTGGGGAGAGCCAAGGGATTGGGGCGTGTTGCCTGACTCTCTCAGAACAGCCCGGGAAGGGTGGAGAGAATGTAAACTGTCCTGACAACAAGGTTGCCCTGGGCTGCCACTGGGCGTCCGCATCTGAATTTAAATGATACAACACAGAAGAGGTCCTGCATGGTAGAGTCTTAGGAAAGACTGCTCTTGGTTCTGGAAGAGGGTCAACTTTCCCAGATCACTAGTGTCTAAAGTCCTGATTGCCGGGTCACCAGGACAATGCAAGCAGAAACTCATTGAAGATGTCTTGAGTCAGGTAAGTCACCTTCCAGCCTAGAAACTCACCCTGTAATGTGGAGAGGAGAGGGGCATGTTGTTTCCCTACCTTCTGAGTGTTACCCTGCTCACATGGCAGACCGAGTTTCTGCCTCCCATTCTAGAAAGTAGGTTATGAAACTGGCTGTCTTCTCTGCATCTTTACACCACCCCAGCAGCTTCAGTTCCCAGGATTTTGATAGGTGCTCACAGATGCCAATGGAACCCAGTATCCATGAATGAGCTCCCCACCCCTGCTTTACTGGATCCTCTGGCCCTGCTGACCCAGGAGGTGACAGATACCCCTATCCACCCCCAACTCCAAGGCTGAGGTGGGAACCTGAGAAGTGCTGGAATAAGGCAGGGAGTGGCCAGGGGAGCACCTCAGAGACAGTTCACTTCAAGAACTGACTCATGGCAGAATTGGAGGGAGTGGGGAGTGCCGTGCCCCACGGTGAGACACCATCTTTCCAGTAGGACCTCTATCCAAGAGCTTCCTGAGCCCTCCTTTGGGGGCACTTCCAGCTAAGGGTAGCAGTGAAGACTCACACCCCCAAAACTATCTGGTCACACAATCAGAATCCATTTGGGAACATAAATGTATATAATCTAAGGCCAGAGCATGTGGTTAGATGGGCAGTGAACCACCAGCTGGATCATGAGGGACTTCATTGTTGGCCCAGGTCCCAATCTGGGCACAGGGTTGGGTGGGGAGTCGGGGGGAGAACCACAGTATAATCAGATACAGTTTCTGCTGCAAGGATGTCCGGGTCTAGGGCAGAGGGAGAAGAAAGCTATGGCACAATGCAGTAATAGTGGGAGAAGGGAGTTCTGAGAAGAAGCACTTAATTCACTCAGAGGGAGCTGGCTCGGCAGTGACCAGACGGAGTTAGCCAGCTGGACAGGACTAGACAAGGAATTCCAGGCAGAGAGGTGATGCTGCATCTGGTGTTGAGGCAGCCACAAGTGTCTGAACAAAGCTCGACCAAAGGCAGGTGGGACTGGAATACCAAGTGTGAGCTGGGAGCCAGGTCACAAGGAGCCTCCCTGGAGAAAGGGGGGAAGGCAATGGTCTTTTTTCTTTTCATTATATTCCATTGGTCTTTTTTGGTATTGGTCTTTTTTCTTTTCATTATATTCCATTGTAATTTTTAAAAATATTTATTTACTTATTTGGCTTCCCAGGTGGCACTAGTGGTAAAGAACCTGCCTGCCAATGCAGGAGGCATGAGACTCTGGTTTGGTCCCTGGGTTGGGAAGATCCCCTGGAGGAGGGCACAGCAACCCACTCCAGTATTCTTGCCTGGAGAATCCCATAGACAGAGGAACCTGATGGGCTACAGTCCATGGGGTTGCAGAGTCAGACACGACTGAAGCGACTTAGCACAGCACAAAGCATTTACTTATTTAGGCTGCACTGGGTTTTAGTTGCAACACTTGAGTGAGATCTTTAGTTGTGTGTAGGATCTAGTTGCCTGACCAGGGCTGGAACTTGGGCCCCCTGATTGGGAGTGGAAGTCTTAGCCACTGGACCTCCAAGGAAGTCTCACCCTGGTCTTATTGATATTTGAGAAGGATCCTTCTGGCACCAGTGTAGGTGGAAGGTGAATTGGAAGGGGCCTGACTGCATTTGGTATACTGCAGGGAGGTAGGAGATGGAGCCCTGGTAGTGGGGCCAGAGATGAAGACAGATTTGAGAGCTACCCAGGCTAGGTAGGATTTCATTGCCATTATAGCCAGGATAGACGAGGGTTGCTCTTTGTGGCTTAACCCTAGCTTGGCCAAAACTTAGCCTGCTTCCTGGCATCACAGGATGGACCAAACAATAGATGGATTTTGGTAGGGAAGAGGGGTGAGTTAGAGGGGTCCGCAGCTTCAAATTGGTAAAAGCTTTAAAGTTCTTGTCCACTGGCCATGAATCTCCCAGAGCATGTTCACTGCACAGTTAAAGGAAGACCTGGGTGAGACTCACTCCCACCTGGCCACCGCATCTCCCCCACTGGCTCCCTTCATCTCCCAGCCCCGACTTGATTTGTTCTAGTTCGGGTCGTTGCTATGCCCATACTGGCCACTAGGGATTCTCTAGTCCCCTCTGTTTCACTGAGATGTTGAAATACCTACAGGTTTCCCAGGGAAAAGGGTAATTGAAGAAAGGGAAAGAGGAAATACAGTCACAGGAAGGTCTCTTTGGTGACATCGGGTTTCTTCCTGTCAATGCTTATCTTAGTTTGTAGTTGTGCCCTCATTAGTGTGAACCTCTGGTTGTCAGTCACCCCAGTAAACCAGACGCCATGATTAAATAGATTCTGTCTGCCTTGCTCCCTACCTAGCTCTTGGAATGCAGGAATCCCACAGAGAGCTGTTGATTGAGTGAATAAGGACTGGCTGAATGAGATTTCTGAACTGTTCTGACACCACATCAAAGCCCTTAACTGTCCATCCCCAGAAAGTGGCCAAAGCTTCCCCCAACCCTGCCATAGGGACCCTTGGGTTCTATCTTCTTTTTGAAGAAGCTAAGGGTCACCATGTGTATGCCTAACTGGAGGATTCTGGTGTTGTTTGACTCCTGCTGACTGTCATAGACGTCATGAGTTGAATTGTGTCCCTCCAAAAGGTATTTTGAAGCCTTAACCCCTGGTACCTGTAAATGTGACATTATTTGGAAACAGGATCTTTGCAGGTGTAATTAATATGTGAGATGAGGTCATACGGAAGTGGGAAGAGTCCTTAATTCAATATGTCCTTATAGGAAGAGGAGAAGATACAGACTGACACATAGAGGGAAGGACAGCAGGTGAAGATGGAGGCAAAGGTTGGAGTTATGCAGCTGCAAGCCAAGGAGTGCCAAAGATTACCAGTGAGCAACAGACGTTAAGAAAAATGTACAGAATGGAGTCCTCCCTGGAGCCATCAGAGACAGCATGGTCCTGCAGACATCCTGATTTTGGACATCTAGCTTCCGAAACTGTGAGAGAATAAATTTCTGCTGTTTTAAATCATCCAGCCTGTGGTACTTTATGAAAGC